ATCCGTATCCTTTGGACTATTTCCTCTTTGGGGAATTCCTGTAGGACTCTGCATGTGCAGTGTTAGTGTTTCTCTTTGTACAGAGTTCCTTTCTGTGTCCTATGAAAGGATTTCTTGAGGAGTCAGAATAATAAATATTCTAGTATCTCAACATATATTTAAGGCAAGAAAGAATCTGCTGGAGAACTTTGCAGGTGCCAGAGTGTGGATGCGGCTTAAAATGTAATCCAAGTCGATCCCCTCCCCACACTCCACACCTGGGAGCGCTCTAGCCCATGGAGAAGGAACCCAGGCAGCTAGAACACTGCTGATTTTATTCTGTGAAACATTTCAACTATGCCAGAGTTCTCAGGGGGTTCAGAGACTGTATATACAGCAGAAGGAGATGGGAGCTACAAATTGATTTCACCTGGATGGGCCTGGGTCCAAGACATCTGACATTTTCACTAACATGGGGGTAGAGGAGAATGGAGAAAATCCACTCCATAAATCCGGTGTGGAGTGGGGACAGGAAGGGCGATTCAGGCCTTGTAGGTGTCCTGATGGTGATTCCATCCCAATCTGGAGGCCACCACCATGAATGTCGCCCAACAGAAGGGTGAGGAATGGTTGGGGTAAATCCCAGTTCTCTACTCAGAGGTCAGAAAGGTGGGATGCAAGCCTCTCAGCCTAAAATTAGACACTCAGTGGAGGTCAGATCGAAGCAGAATCCAGTGAGCTCTCTCAGAAGAGGAGAGTGAGGCAGCCAAGCAGGACCGGATGGAGGCTGACCCAGGTGTCTGGATGTGAACAGCATGGAAGCCTACAGTTTGAGGTGGGTGTTAAATAGAGGGCAGTCCTATGGCCTGGGCCAACTAGGGGACTGAGAGGGTTAAGGGTTGGTTGCCAGAGCTGTCCCCAAGCAGAAAAGTCTAGGAGAATCAGGGTCTTTGAGGGAGCTGAGCAGTCGTGTTCCTGCCCCAAGTCCTGGGATGGGAACTTGACCCTGTTCCTGGCCCCACAAGATAAAGACGCAGGCTCTTACTAAAGGAATTGGTTTAGCAACTACCTGCTCCCTCCCACCTCCTTGGCAATTCATCCCCATAAGCTGACAGGAGCCCCTGACACCTCCATACATTTTATGGCCTCTGTTCTCATCAACTTCACTCCAGTTACCTTGGGTTCTGCTTCTTTGTTCCCTCACCTGCCTGATCCATCTCCCGGTTGATGCCTCATCTCATCCTGCAAACTCAATGCTCAGTATTTCTCCAGTTTCTGTTTTTCAATACAGTTCATACCTTGCCCGACTGTACTTCTTTCATTTGCTCCGGGCAGGCCTGGTGATCTTATACCTCAGCACAGATCTGCAGAGGCAGTGACCGGGTTAGACGTCCCCAGGCCCCCGTGTAAGACAGGGAATGGGTGGCATGAAGCAGGCATGCAGGCAACATCAATGAATCAGCAGCAGAGAGAGGGTGAAGTAACAAGGAGGGTTCTCCTTGGATCAGAGACTCCATAATGTTGTCCTACAACTCACTGATATTTTACTTTGCAGAAGGTTCCCAGGGCTGGCACCGTGGCTCACTTGGTTAATCCTCCGGCTGCAGCGCCAACATCCCATATGGGCATCAGTTCTAGTCCTGGTTGCTCCTCTTCCAGTCCAGCTCTCTGCTGTGGCCCGGGAGGGCAGTGGAGGATGGCCCAAGTGCGTGAGCCCTGCAAATGCGTGGGAGACCATGAGGAAGCACCTGGCTCCTGGCTTTGGATCAGCACAGCGCCGGCCACAGTAGCCATTTGGGGGAGTGAACCAATGGAAGGAAGACCTTTCTCTCTGTCTCTTTCTCTCACTGTCTATAACTCTACCTGTCAAAAAAAAAAAAAAAAGGTTCCCACTGTTAGGGGACAGCGGTAGAACCAAGAAGGGTAGGATGTGTGGTCATGTTGCCGGCAGGACGCTGATGGCACCACCCTACCTCAGAGGGCAGTCTGAGGGGACTTAAAGGAGTTTTCATAAAGATGTGAGCAGGTAGGGGGAACTGTGAAAGGCAGCAACGTATCCAGAGACCTAGGAACGAGAACTCTGCCACGCTCCCTGGGCAAGCAGAGTAGGAGTCCTTGAATGTGGAAACTGAGAAGGATGGGAGAAAGCAACCTTGAGAAAGATGCAGGCAGCCCAAGAAGACCTGGAGGGGGCGCGCTGGTGGTGGGGGGGGTGCCCCGAGCTCATTCTCCCCTCTCCCGTCTCCTGCAGAACCATAGGAAGCCAAGGGCAAGGAAGCTTGTGGCTGATTGGGTCTGCTAACCGAAGGGGTGGTGAGGCATGGGCTAGGCAGGGGATGGCGCCATCAGCCAGTCTGTTTCCACGGTGTCCTGAATGAGGACTTCTCAATTGTGTCCATGAAGAGGGAAGCCTGATGTTGGAACTTCCCAATTGTGAAAGACGGGTCCAGGAGACTCATTCCTGTTCTCCGAGATGAGCCTCCACCATCAGCATCAGAAACAACCGAATGTATCCCTCCCTAGTTGCCTGAGGGTGCGTCAGACGCTGGACTCATTTCAAGCATCAACTTCGAACCTTACACCATGCCTGGTGGGTGTCCTTGGAGTTACTGCCCTTCTACAGGGGAAATAGAAGGCTTGACTTCTAAAGGGTCAAGACCCACACACTTGAGAAATGATCAGGATGTCTGAGTGCGGGATGAGTGAGGAAGGTGACGATGCTAGCCACTAGCATGTTCAGCCCCTCCCGGGTTCCAAAGCACTGACTCCGTGACTTTCACAGTGCCCTTGGCACTCTATCCAGTCTGCAGACACTCTGCCAAGTCTTTCTGCTGCACTTCTGGGTCGAACGGACCAACCGGTAGACCCTGGCCACCATCAACCACGGCTTAGCCTTCATTCCTCTTTTTTCTGACCCGCTGCTTCATTACTGGGTTCTACCTCTTTTCTGGGGTGGACCTTTTGCTCACACAGGAACCCTGGGCTTGCACCTCTGCTCTCCATTAGCTGTGACCCACTGGGCAATCATACCCAACACTGTAACCCATGCTCCCTTCTAAACCCGAGCCTGGGGCTGGGGCTGAAGTCCTCATGTGATGGAAAGACAGTCCAGTTAATAGCATTGTCCCTACTGGGAGCAATGGCACTTACTGAACCCAAGGCAAAGTGACATATCAACACTATTTCATATTATCCCATGGAACTCCATGACATAAGCAAGAGTCTTTATTATTCTCATTTGCAAATGGGAACAGAGGCTAAAGTAATGTGCCTAAGGCAATGTGGTATCAAATGGAAGATCAAGAATTTAAGCTCATCTTTGTATCAGAAGCACCACACTGTACCACACCAGCCTCCTAACCTGGAAAACTGGCAGCACCCAGACCTAACGGCTCCCCTTAGTCAGGGTTTTCCAGAGAAACAAGACCAAGATGATACATTGGTAGGGTTAGGGTTAGGGTTAGGGTTAGGGTTAGGGTTAGGGTTTGGGTTCAGGTCACACTCACATGATTATGAGGGCTAAGAAGTCCCGAGATCTGCAGTCAGCAAACTCAAGACCTAGGACAGCTGACAGCATGGTTCCTGTCCTGAGAACCGTGACAGCTGATGCGGCCAGTCCAGATCTGAGTCTAAGACTAGGGCAGGAGGGCACAGACAGCCCGACTGGAAGACAGGCAGGCAGAGAAAGGAGGGTTCTCCCGCAGTCAGCTTTTTCATTCAGTGAATTGGATGGAGTGCACTGATATTACCGAAGACCCCGGCTCCACTCAGCCTACCCATCCACCTGCTTGTCTAACCCAGAAACAGCCAGAATCGTGATCACCCACATATCCGAGCACCCCATGGCCCTTTCATGCAGACAGTTAAAATGAACCATGGCATCCCTCCCAATGTAGAAAACCCTCCCTCATCATCAACGTGAATTCTCACTCTGCGACCTCTCCTTCTTCATTGGAAAGTTTGCAACAGATCTGGGGCAACTGCTCACCAGTCTGTGCTTCCTAGAGCAAAGGAAATGAGGGGATCTCCACCAGATGGTGTTTTAGGGTCCTACAGAAACCATTTTGGAACATGAAGAAAGGCCCAAGTTGGAACAAAACGTTCTTAGATGAAATGAGCTCTCTCTCCCATCTCCCTCCCTCCCTCCCTCCCTCATTCCTCCCTTTCTCTCTCTCTCTCTCTCTCTCACACACACACACACACACCCTTGCCATACTTTCCAACTACACATAGGACATGAAAACTTGTCACTCCGAAGAACATGGGAATACCCACTGGACTTCCTTCCTAAACCTCACATGTGTACACCTGCAAGCAGGCTGTGGCAGAGGGACCAGGAACATTTCCCAGCCCATCTGTCCACTCAGCCCCCACCCCATCCACACAGAGGGCAGCCAAGGAGTATCCTCACAACAGATGGTACTGACCTAGGAGTTGGCTTCCTGTTCCCCGGCGATGGTGGCAACCGTCCCACAAACCCTTCCCATGACCCACCAAGATGCATCCCATAAGACACTTCTGGGACATAAAATGAACCACTCCTGATCCCTCTCTGCAGCGCCTCCAAACCTCCCCAGTCATCCCTGGCAATTCTGAGGCAGCCCCAAGACACAGGCAGCTCGAACTGTGAAAATCACTTAGGCCTGCAGCGCCTGCCTTCCCGCCTGGGAGTTGTACCAGGGACTTATTTTTATAGCCTTTGCCTCTGCCTCAGGGACCTCGGCTTGAGACCAGCTTAAGGATTTAGAAGAAACAAATTTGCAATTCGCAGCTGAAATCTTGGAGCAGGTGATCTAACATCCGGAGTTCTGAACCACTCTGGCGAAGAAGTGCTTTCCCGTGCTTTTTAAAACCATGCTGTCAGTGGGAAAGAGGAAGAGGAAACTGACAGAGTGTTGATGCAGCTTACAGGTCCATTTCCTGGCTTCATTCTCAAACAGTTCCGATGGACTCTGAGGCTGCAGGATTTAGAAACTACACGATAAACACAAACAGTAATAATGACGCAGCATGGGGTTTACCTCCAAGCTCCTCCTTGCTCTCCAAATTGCCTGATCTGTCTGATCTGTGCTTGGGTCAGCCCAGATGGCCAAGTTTCTCTCCCGGTGGCCGGATCCCCACATCTGAAAGAGAACAAGTTCTCTGCACCATTGCTTTCAGCTTCTCCCTTCTCCATGGTTTTCTGAATTGCTCTGCACCTCCTCACCCCGCTTCTGTCTCCACTCGGTCAAACCCCAAGCAAGCAGTGGACAAGAGGGTGCAGTACAGGAGTCGTGGGAGGGAGGAAGCAATGGGCTGGATGCTTATGCTGGGCCTAAATTCATATACTGAAACCTTAACCTCTGACATGGTGGTGCTAGGGGAGGGTCTTTGGGGGGTGATGATTAGGATTTGTACCTTTGTCAGAGACCCCAAAGAGCTCTTGGGCCCTCTATTTGCTGTGTGAGGATGCAGCAGAAGTCGTCCGTCTGTATCCCAGACAAGGGTCTTCACGTGAACCTGACCGTGCTGGCACCCTGGTCTCAGACTTGCAGCCTCTGTAACAGCAAGAAATACATTTCTGTTGTCCATAAGCCACCACTCAGCCTATGGTATTTTGTGTCAGCAGCCTGAGCTAAGACAGAGGATGACATGATTAGGGTGAAGTCTTGATCTGATAAGAAAAAAAAGAAAAATAAATAGAAATAAAAAAAAAAAAAAACAGTCCTTGCATGCATCAAAGCCCCACTGTTTGCCTGAAAAATAAGAGAGCTGGACATGAGGTTCTCCGAGGGTCCAGCCAGCCTCGATGTCTGGCACCCTGCATGCAGCCTGCAACCTGTTGCCTTTCCTCTGCCTCCAAATGCCCCCACCCCCCCACCCCGCCCCGCAAACCTGCTGTAAAGCGAACGCTTCCCCCCAAATAGCATGGTTGTTCTGTTTTTGTGGGTTTTTTGGTATCATGAAAGCTCACAGAGAATCATAATTCTAGCCTGCTTTGGGCTGCCAATCTGTGTAGCTGCTTCGGTTGACACAATGGTTGGGGACTCCTGGCATCTGGGTGGGAGGAGGCCAAGAAGGCTGCAAGGTTCAAGGCCATGCCTGTCCCTGGCATATTCAGAGGTACAGAGCAAGTGTTTGCTTGTTGAACGAGCAGAACAGGGCCATGGCTTCCCTAAGACCTCACTTGTTAGAGGAGTAACTTGCTCCTCTGAACCCCTTCCTGTGACTCTTGTACATTCTCTCTCTCTCTCTCTCTCTCACACACACACACACACACACACACGTAGGCAATTTCCGCACATAGGAATGACAAGCTGGGAGCACTCATTCTTCTGTTCTATATGATAACCCGCAGAGGCAAGGGATGATGGTCCCCTAAAGAGGGCATGAGGGCCATTTCTAAATCTCCTCCTTCCCAACACCAGACGGGGCTCAGTGTACTGTTCCACTCCCTTTGATGTTAGCCACGACCCAGTGACTTGCTTGGCCAGTGAAATATGAGTGGATGTGATGTGTGCCATTCATGGGGGGCAGGCTGAAGAGCTAGTGGGTAAAAGGCACCATGTATCTTTCCTGTCTCTGTGGTGATGGTGGGGCCTCATGGCCTGGGGCCTGCGTGATATCTCTGCTGAGAAGGGTTGGGTCTGTAGACTCCAAGTCCTGCCCTAGTAGACTGATAACAGAATGCAAGGAGGCACCATCTGTTTTCCTAGGCCAGTGAGATTGGAGGTTCCTTGCTGCCACTCTACCACCTTGCTTACCCTGTCTGCTAGAGTCCAATCTGGAGTTTACAAGGGAAAACAAATAAAAAGCATGCCGATTTCTTTACTCAACAACTGAGTAACAAGGGGAGTGGAGACCAAGACAGCAAGAAGCAGTGCACTTAGCTCACTGTTTGTTTAGTCCAGGCGACACTGGAGTGGAGCCATCTTCCCCGTGAAGAGTGAAGGGGATGGGATGTGCAGGTTCCCTGGCCCGCCCAAGTCTTACAGTGTTATCTGGGCATGGGCTATCGGCCAGTTAGAGTGGGGATGTGAGTAATTCGCTGAGTTTCTGTAACAAATATCATGGACAGTGTGGTTCAGTTCCAAGACTAAGGTGTCAGCAGGGCTGATTTCTTCCTTAGCTTTTCTTCTTGCCTTACAGGAAACCGTCTTCTCCCTATGCCATCACATGGTCTCCCCTCTGTACGTGTCCGTGCCTGGATCTACACTTCTTATAAGGACACCAGCCATATGGGACTTGGGTTCACTCCAATGACCTCATTTTACCTTAATGAGTTCTTCATTGACCCTGTCTTTAGACAGTCTCATGCTAACGCACTGGGGTTAGTACTACGGTGTTAGACCCTCGGAGTGAGGATGCTAACACGTCTCGAGAGGCACACCCCAAAGACACAGAGTCCAGACCAGCTGATGCAAAAGCAAGAGGATTTATTCGGCGTCTGCGCAGACGGGCTTCTTGAACTCGGGAGTCCAGAGAGCGCCCCCAGCACAGAGCCACACGGTTTATATACCTGCAGTGACCAATCAAAAGCACTATAGTGTCCGTGCACACAGCAGTCCAATCCGTGAGCTGATCATGTGAAGGGCATGCGTCTTCTATCCAATCAGCTATGGGATCACACGGGAGGCCATGCACCTCGTCGCCATTTTGTTGTTTACTTCTTTAGTAGTTCCTTTCCCTGCCAGCGCCATCTTGTTCACTCTGAGGGGGACGACGTCTCGCTCCCTTTGTTCCCCTGGAGGGAGAGCAGTTTCCCGCTTCCCACACCGTTATTTGAGTATTAGGAGGCATACAAACTGGGTTAGGTCTTAGCACAGCCAGGCACAAGTGTCGCAGCTAGCTAAGCATAGGGTCCCTTATTTTTATAGCTGCACCTAATTTTAGCTTTGGGGGAAAGAGTTTAGGGCTATCATTTTTAAACTTTAATTTTATTTGGGCAAAGGTGACTTCTTGTTTTTAATAGTGTTAGCTTAAGTCACTCCACCTTGGTTTGATTTTTTTTTTTTTTTTTTTGACAGGCAGAGTGGACAGTGAGAGAGAGAGACAGAGAGAAAGGTCTTCCTTTGCCGTTGGTTCAACCTCCAATGGCCGCCGCGGCCGGCGCGCTGCGGCCGGCGCACCGCGCTGATCCGATGGCAGGAGCCAGGAGCCAGGTGTTTTTCCTGGTCTCCCATGGGGTGCAGGGCCCAAGCACCTGGGCCATCCTCCACTGCACTCCCTGGCCACAGCAGAGGGCTGGCCTGGAAGAGGGGCAACCGGGACAGAATCCGGCGCCCCGACCGGGACTAGAACCCGGTGTGCCGGCGCCGCTAGGCGGAGGATTAGCCTAGTGAGCCGCGGCGCCGGCCACCTTGGTTTGATTTTTAAGGTTCTTCAACGGCACAGGCATTTGGGCAAAAGGAACACAATTCATCCCACAACAGCAGGCCTCTCAGTGGGCAACACAGCTCCAAAGTGGAGCAGAAACAAGCCTCCTCCTGGTCTCCATGAGGCTACTCTTCACACTCCAGTCTTTTTTAAATTCACAAAACCTCAATCACTCAACTTCTCGGAGACTCGAGTGACTACTTCCGACACGCAGGAACTAGGCAGGAAAATTAGGCAGGAACAGTTGAGCTGGAATAGTTTCTCAAAATCTCTGCATATCCCTGCATTGCCACCCTCCCACCCCCTGACATCCAATTGCCCATGATTCACCTGTGTCTCATCCAGGGCCAAGGAGGAGGAGACACCATGACGGCCACGTGGAAGTTAAGATCCACATAGAGATGCCACAGAATTCCCAAAAAGCCTCTCACACACCAAACTCCACCCCTTTTGAATCTTCAATTAGGGCACCACCCCCTGCCTCAATCAAAGGAAAACTGACAAATATGAAAATACCCTTTAGGCAACTCTCTGGCCCACACATGACATCTCCACATGGGGATGGCCCACACTCACACATGAACGTAGATTCACTCTTAAAACCTGCTCTCACCTGTGCACTCTTTATTCCTCTGCTTTGAATTCTTACCTCTATTTGGGCAAGAACTTGAAATAAAAATTAAGATACTTATGCCCTTAATAGTTCCTCAGGGAGAGACATTGGAGTGGGGAAGACGTATGTTTCTGCCCACAGTCCACACCTGAGTTGCACCTGTGCCCTTAGTACCTACTGTAGGACTTGGCTCATGGAAGATGCTCAATAAGACAGCATCTTACTGACGTGAGATGTTGCTTACAGGCTTGGCTACACCACTGCTGTGCCACATCACTCTGCAGTGCAACTGTCTTCTGTCCATTGCAATCCAGCTGTCATCCCTGCAGGCAGAAAGGACTTCTTTGTGCCCCAACTTCACTCTGCCTTGTACTAGGTAAACCATGACTGCCCGAAGGGCTAGTGGCAAATAGAACTCTGGGTTTACTTGCTGGCTACTGAGTTTCTCACACTGCAAACAGGCTGGAGGAGAAAGGAATGTAGGAGGGCAGGGCCTGGCTCAGCACAAGGTAGGTGAACCCTATAGAGACAGGGCTGTCACCTAGCTCCCAGGTAAAACTGAGTCACCGTGGTGACAGCCATGGGTCCCCATAGTCCTAATGGGGTGGTGTGCCAAGTCCCACTGCCTTTAGGAAGGAAAATGGATGTGAGGGAGCCAAGGCAAGCATGCACAACTCTGCCCCTAGAAGCCAAAGTGGGCTTTTGAAAGATTAATGGGGCACTCAGCTCTGAACTTCTTAACAAGGGAGAGGGGGGAAAGCTTTCTGGAAAAACACCAGAAGCTTCCGGAAGGGAGAAGCGATTGAGGCTGAGGTGGGGCCCCTTCACGCTTTTCCCAATCATCGCTCTATGTTTTTCCCACGGTCTCCCACCCTCTTGCTCCTCCTGCTTCCTCTTCCCAATTCTTCTTTGAGATTTTGGCCTCCCAGAAATGATTTCCGTCTTCCTGCCCCAACTTCCAGTGCACCATCACGCAATCATCTTCACATTCATCAGGGTGTGTGGGAGGGGCATTGTGCATGGTAGAAAGACAGAGAGTGGAATACAGCCTGGACTGGCAACTGCACTTCGTGAATGTCTAACGTGCATGTAGAGACATGGATGGTATTCATCCCCATGGTGGGGCTAAGGGGAAAATCCCTCCCTACTAAAGGTGACGCTAATGGAGATGTCAGTCCTGCAGGGTGGGGCGTGAGGGTAGGTGTGCCAGCTCCATTGCAGCACCTGGTCAGAACTAGTGGTTCTGCTTGATGCAGTGATTGGTCTACCAAGCAAGGCCAATCAGAATCCTGAGGATCATTATGGGCTATGAGCTAGAAGGACCAGGACAACCCAAGGCTTCTGGGAACATCTTTTGTCTCTATGGAGAGTCTTCCAGAACAAAGCATGGTCCATGACAGGGCACAGATGGGGGCACCTGAATCTAGGAAAAGCAGCCTCATCAACTGCCACACCCATGGTTTCCCATCACATGAGCCGCTGTGGGGTTTTATGTTTCATTTTTGAGTTTTTGGAGTGCTTATCGATAAATTATAGTTTCATATACTTATGGGGTACATGGTCATCATT